ATATATATATATATATATAGTAATATAATAATAGATATATAACTTATATTTAAATAATTTTTTTATGCAATTTTTTTATATAATTTTAATATAATTTTTTTATATATCATGAAAACTTATCAAAGTGTAATATTATATTTTCTTCAAATAATCTGTTTTCTCGTATTAAATACATCAATACATTTTTTACGATCTCAATCCATTACTATAGTCATAAATATTTAAAATTACTTATTCATTTATATGTAATATTAAAATAAATTGAAAGATAAAGGCGATAATAATTGTAATCATGCATATAATCAACAAAATAGTATAACTTATTACACTGTCAAGAAATGACATCAGTTCTCCGTAAATTTATTCTGATCTCATCTAGTTTTATGTTTCTAAATGCATACATATTATATAAAAGAGTGTGATCAAAGTTTTTCTCTGTCTATTAGTATATGCATATTTTAATAATATATGAATATATAAATAATATTAAATTAAAATTAACTTTAAATTATAATTGAAATTGTTTATTTATTTATTTTTTAAAATAAAACAAAAATTTATTATATAAATTATTAATAAAATTAATATTTCAAAAATTAAGTTAAAATTCGTTAAAAACGTTTTTTATTTACATTTTAAAATGTGACATGCAATATTTCATTCAAAACATATCCAAATTGAATGTATATGTTACATTGTATAATGGAATTTTAATGAAAAAAAAAAACTTACCTTCATAGACATGTCGATGAGCACGTGTAATAAGAACGTGCGATTAATATTTTATTATTTTTAACAAAAAAACGAATAAGTGCACTTAATATTAATATTGTAATTGCATCGTAATGCATCAAGTATACTTTCGATTACATATTATATATTAACTTTACTTCTAATATACATGTAATAAATAAAACATATTTTAACATTGGACACACTTTCGTATCACAGTTTATTTAAACGCGTAAGAGAATATTAACACACTTCTCATGTTTATGAAATACGAAGGCACATCATAAGAGCATCATGATTTACCGGATGACTTCAAGTCACCGAATGTCCGATGGAACTGTTTGACAGTAATATAGGCAGAGAATGTTTCTTTTAATATCCGCTTGGTGGTGTTACTTGTCATAAAATTGTAACGGACACTATACTGTCACAATATATATATATATATTTATAAAGTCTTACAAATTTCTACATATATGAATATAATATGATGAAGAAAATTTCAAAATATGATTAAAGATATGTAACAAAAAGTAAATAAAAACATAGATTATTATTGAATTTATAATGTGTTATTAATAATTTTATATTTTTTCTTATTTTTTTTTATAAAATTGTTTAATTTCGTACAAAAAATTTTGATTTGGCGCGTGCTGGTGTTTCTATTGTCCAATCAAATTGGATAAAAATTTAATATACGTCATATAATTCGTAAAAACCCTAAAAACGCATAACTTAATATGCATAAAATTTTTGAATAAATGAATTTTGATAGTTAATTTCAAAATCTATGAAAAGAATTCAAAATTTTTAATATTTCAAATTAAAATATATTCGAAATTATGAAATTAATATTTATTAATAAACATTTAAATAGATAGAAATATATAGAGATTTATTCTCTATGTTGGTAAATTTGATTTTGTTTTATGATATTCACACTATATCGTGAGAGTTCTTTTCCATAGGAAGCCATTTTACGGTGCTCTTTTAGTAAGTAAAAATAAGAATTTATTTTAATTTATAATTTCATAATATTATATTTTTTCACATAAAAATATAATTTCATACTATAAATTTTATTGTAGATATAAGAATGGAGAACGATAACGGAGTACTTGTTGACTTATACATCCCAAGAAAGTGGTAAGTAACACGTGGATTGCTATTTTTTATGATGTAAAAATAATGTATTTCTTTAAATAAAAATTGTAAATGTAACTGAAAAGAATTAAAAATTTAAATAAATTATAATAATCATATATTTTATAGTTCATCAAGTAATCGTATTATACATGCTAAAGATCATGCATCTATTCAATTAAGTATTGCTGATGTTGATCCTGAAACTGGACGCATGAGTGATTCACAAAAAATGTATGCAATTTGTGGAGCTATACGCCGAATGGTACGTTTTTTAAATTTTATTTAATTTTTAATTTTTTGTTATTAATAATTTATTTTTTAGGGTGAATCTGATGATTGTTTGGTAAGACTTGCAAAAAATGATGGTATATTACCAAAAAATTTTTAATATATAACTCTTTTATTCTTTCAATAAAAATATAAAAATTTAAATAATGTGTATTATTGTATTAAACTATTGACTTAAATTATATTTATAAACTTATAAAGGTTTTTTTTGTATATATAATTTATTATATAATTTTTGTACATAGAGTTTTATATATGAAATGAATTATTATATACACATATAGAAAGATAATTTTTTAATGTTTCATGTTTTTTTTGATGGAACAATTTTTTTTGTTAATTCTATTTCAAAAATTTTGTTTGCAATAATTATATAAAAATAAAAATTATTTTAAAAATATAGTTGTATGTGTCAAAAAAATATGATTTCAATTGCATTTAACAAAAATTTATAAACATGCTAAAATATATATCCATTTTAAATTTTATATTATATATATAATGTGTTGAAGAATAAGAATTAGTACAAATTTTTAAATACTTTGAAGAATTATCTCATATTTCTTAAGGATGTATATATATATATATAGTATATATATATATATATATATATATATACTATATATATATATATATAGTATAAGTATAGTCTCTTAATTTATTATTGGACATAATTATTATTGTAATCAGTAGCAATCAAAAGTTACAGTTTTTTCATATTTTTAAATATATTGAAATTTTTAGCAGAGTTATAAAACTAAGCAACATTTATTAATTGATAAAAATATTTCATAATCTTGTGCATATATTACGATTGGGAAAATATGGAAATTTGTAATTATTCAATATACTTTAATTCCAAAAATTTCTATTATGTATTAATATTATTTACTGGGAACTTGATTTTTAAGCATAAATATTATTAAAAAGTGATGGAACTGATATTTTAGATTTAAAATATTACCCTGAGCATATTCTATTGATGTTATGTATGTTTGTTTTTGATCAGTATGATTACTATATCCATGATTAGGCCAATAAATTACATACAGATTAATATTTTGAAAGATTAATTTTCAATCACATATGCAAAATTTTAATTTCATATAGTAAAAACTAATATAATGTATTACTAGATATCACTAAAAAAAGAATATTATAAGCATAAAGAATTAAATTTTTTTGATACTTATCAATATTTTGAAATCAATAAAAAATATAATAGTAATATCATATAAAATTTAAATATTACTTGGATTAGTTTAATGAAACATTATATTTTAATCTTTTTTGTAACTATTATTTTGTTACAAAATGTCTTGAGCACTACAAATCTATTTTTTTAACTAAAATTTATACATCTAATTGCAATGAATGCAGAAATTTCTTTAGAAAATAAAATTACTGGTCAATTATTCAAGGCAATCTATGATTTTATAAATTTCATATATATCTTACACTATTTTTATACACAGTTAAGCCTGTGTATCAAACATTTAACACAGGAGTATCTGATAAGGAATGAACGCGATTGAATCTACGATTTTTTAGACTTGCAATCGCTTCTGCAAGATCTGCTCTTTTACTAAAAAAATCAACTATTGCTTGACCTGTTAAGGCAGATGCCAAAAACTGTTCAACACTTATTGTCCAATCTGGACCAGTAGATGCAACTATGTTTGATGGATTTCCATTACGATCATGTGACTGAAAATCATTATTTATGTATAATTTATAATATATAAGATGATTTATGTAATATAAATAATGTGTTACCCGTTCCATAATTGAAGATGTTTGTTGAACAGCAATAGCGGCTAGAAGTAAACTATCTTCAGATTCATCTCTACCAACATAAAACTTTTTGCCAACATCGCCTAATTGAAGTAAAAGTGTACCTATATATTACGAACATTTTTTTTATTATTTATATGATATAGATTTAAATAGTAATAATATTTTTATATTTATAGTACATATAATTTACCTATTGAAGCTATACAATGATAAGTTTCTTGTTCTTCTGGTTGTGCAGGAAACATGTCATAAAGAGTTTTCCATAATGCAATAAAATGTCCTTGTGACATTTTTGGCACAGTTTTAAGATCCAATGGACTATCTTTAGATGCTATCATAGAACGTAAACTACCCATGCTTTGAACTTCCCATGATTGATCTCCTTGTTGACTGGTTAAACTTGTCGAGCGAGATAAAGTACCAATACTAGGTTCTTCTGCTAAACTAACTGGCATTTCCAAAGAAGCAACGCTTTGTTCCATACTATCAAAAAAATCTGTAGCTTCAGCTGCTACTTCAGCACCATCTGATATTAATTATCCAAATAAATATTCTTTTATTATAATATTTTTAAATATAAAATAATATTTACCAGAATGCGTTGGTGATTCAAAATCAGCTGGTGTAAGTAGTGGTGGTAAGTGTAGAGTATATAAAAGTTTTAATCTTTGTGTTAAATCTGCAGTTGCTGTCATACCAATTGCTTGTACTAATTCCCGAAAGTTCAGTAGACCATCACGATTTCGATCCATTAACTGATAGTACAATAGTACTTATGAACATTTTCTGTATTTGCTTGATCTTATTCAATAGAATTAAGATATACATAGGTGTTAATTCTCTAATATTTTTTATCAATTATTATAATTGTCTTTTTTCAGATACAGGTAACTAATTTAAAAAAAATTACTTTTTAAACTCAAATTTAAAATTACTTTAACTTACACGGAATAATCGGGCAGCGAGAGATTCAGCTTGACTACATTTTCCCCATGGGGATAAACCACCAAATAATATTCTAAATAATTCAAAATCTATTTTATATGCTTCATAAGGCGGCTGTGTTGGATCATAACGATCAGGTTCAGATTTTCGTTGACTCATTAATTCTTCTCTTACTAAATTTAATAAATCCTAAATAATAATACAATTATTTTTTAAACAGTTTTATATATATATATTTTTTTAAATATATATAATACCTGTAATTCTTCCATTGTCATATATTTATCAACAATAACACTCCTAATTACATTTTTCTCAATTCCATCTTCCAAACTTTGAACTACCCTCAATCTGTGTTTTAAACGAAGTCTTTCTATTCCACCAATAGTCAAAGATCCATATCTTGAATATGCTTCATATATTAAAGTCTGAACAGATATACTCTAAATTGACGAATATACATAAATGTTAAATAGATAAAATTTTTAATGCTTACAAATACAATTCATAAAAGTATTCTTACTCTATTAGGAGTAGCACTATCAACTGGTCTAGGAAGTATAAGTCCCTCATCATTGTATACACCTCCAAGATAATCTGTTAATAACTGCATTGCTTCACCATCGTCACGGCAATTTAATAATTTATCTTGGTTCCACTCCAGTACTGTCAATGCTATCTGACACAGGAAGAAAGACCTGTTTACTTCAAATTTCTTCTGTACGTAATTTATTCTGTATTTATTAGAAAGAATGTCAATAAAATTTAATAGTTTGACTAATAAAAAATAATTAAGGAGCTAAAAATAAAATATACATAAAATGTGTTATACCTGGAAAATTACTTTTGCTCCATCATAGAAAAAACAATCCATTATATTTACTGCACTACTTGTTGGCATAACACTTAAAAATATAGTTAAGAACCATGAAAGTGATATAACTTTAATAAGACCAAGTTCTTGCAACCTAGCATGTAAAGTTGGTAAATGTTCAGCAGCTAATTCTTCTAAAAGACCTTGATCAACAAGAGCACCGACTACTCTTCTATCATAATAATCGGGTAATAATGATTCACATACATTACATAATTGCCAAAATGCAGATTCTTCTGAGCAATAAATTAATAGTACTGAAGCTACTATATTCATGGCCTGACAATAACCTGTTTCAAAACAATTAAAATGATAATTTTTTGAAATTTTTATAACAATAACTACAGATAAAATTTTTACCAATTTGTGGATTTTTCCAAGCATATGCAGAAAGAACTCTTCTTAAAGCACTGATACCAGTGTCAGATTGAAATGCTGGATGTTCAGGTAAAGATCGATGCAAATCTCGTTCTATTTCTTCATTTGCTTGACATGATTTACCTAAAGATTGATCAACTAATGACTTATATAGTCCTGGATTCATTACCATTTCATTTAAAGCACCTACAAATAAATCGAAATTATATTACATTAACATAATTGTGTGAATAGAATTACATTTATTATATTACCAGAAAAAGTAAGCCAAACTTCTCCTCTAAGAGATTGTGGTACACCCTGAATTATAAGTTTTGCTGTCTCTGTTGTTCTGTACATTGTAATTCCTCTGCCATATTCTGCAAAATGAAGTTCCCATTGTTTTTCTTTAGCTTCTTGTTTTAGTGCTGCTTCATTAGTTAATGGAGCTTTAAATAAAGTCATTAATGGTGGTTGTGGTTTCCAATCATTAACTGATTTACTTTCTTTGCAATTGCTGTCATTATGTTTTATAATATTTTGAGAAAATACATGATCAATATTCCTATATCAAAATAAAATATATTAAATAAAATATAAATATATTATTTAATTGTAATGTAAAATTGTAAAATTAATAATATTATGTAAAAACTTACAAATTTGATAATTTAGATCTTGCTAATAATTCAGATATTTTTTGTACGACAAAATCACGATCATGAATCTGAGCAAATAAAAATGAAGATCGAGCAGTTGTCACTAGAATAGATTTATCTATTCCTGTACTGGATGATTGATTTTCAGCAGGTTCAATAAGTCTTACTTCTCTTAATGGTATAACTAAACTTACTAATCCTCTTACCTAAATTGATAAAAGTATTAAATGGCATTATTAAGCATAAATTTTTATATAGTAAATTTAATTAAATTTTTATATTTAATTATATTTACCCTGCTTTCAAAACAAAGATAATTTTGAGAGAGAAATATTTTTCCCCATACATATCTTTTATTATATGGTGTCCATAATGTTGCATCAATACTGCCATCCAATTTTTCAATACCTGGCAATCTGAATTGTAATCTATAAGCTTCAGAATGTGCTCGTGCATCAAGATCCCTTTTCAAGAAAGATGGTTTTTTAGGTACATTTTTGCTGTAAATATAATTACCATTGTATTAATATATGTAAATTTTATTCGAAATTTTTAAATTATCAAATACCTTAATTTGCTTAATAGTTCTCTATCTTCATTAAAACCACTTTTTTCATCTATAAGTCTAAAAATAAAATAATATTAATTTATTAAATATATTTTTTCATTCTTATTTTGATAATATTATTTTGATAATTGATTATACTTGATATAAATAATATTACCTTTTCATAGCAATATTTGTAAGTTGTTCCATTAATGAATATGTTTCAGATTTATGAAGAAACATTGAAAAATAATGCTACAAGAAAAATAAAAAAAAATTACTTATCATAAAAATTGTAATATTTTAAATAATAAACAATACAATATTTTATTTACCTCTTTATTTTCTCTTGTTACAACTCGTATACTATCTGGAAACAAGATGGAATTAGTTTTACTTAATTCAGTGATATCAGCCCATCTTATAATTAATTTTGTTTCTCTTGCCAAAATATAGGCATAAAAACACATATGATTTATTGATAAATATAACCATCCTTGTCTAGGTAAACGAGATTTCCAATAACTAAAAAAAAATATAGTATATGTAAAATTTGTAAATTTTATTAAAATTTTATATATTTTTAGATTAACTATACAAATACCTGCATGAATAATAATTGACTAATTTATCTTCTTTTGGTATATTAAAAAGTTGATGAAATTTAAAAGATACAGTTTTAAATGATTCTGGATCCTCTTCTGTGAAATAATAAGTTTTAATAATTATGTACAAATTTTACTTTTTTATCAATTTCATATTAAATAATTTAAATAATACCATCTGCAAATTGACAATCTGGTACATTGTTTGCAATAATAGATTGTATTTTACAACAAACAAATTCAGTAATTTCTTCTTCAGTATCAAATGATGTTAAAGTATCCATTAAATTAGAATGAAGCCATTCCCAATCTTGTAAAATTTCTTCATGTGTCAAAGAGCATGCAACTGCTATATAAATTAAAAAATAAATCAATATATTTATAAATAAAAAGTAAAAATTATGAAAAAAATAAATATTTAAAATTAAATTTTCTATGTTAAAAATTAAATTTTCTATGTTGAAATACCTTACCCCAATAAACTTCTGATGATGGTGTTTGATGTAATATTCTAAATGGTGGAGGTTTAGTGTCGAAAACACTATCCAATGTTCCTACCAATATAGAAGTAAGACCTTTTGTTTTTCCATGTCCTTTACGACGTTGTAAAACAAAATATACAGTTGCTTGTTCTGTTATCCTATATAATAAATATAACAAAATATAATCATTTTTCTTTAAGAAAAAATATAAAATTCATTTATTCATTGTAAAACACAATAATTATAATTACATAATATACTATTTATATTTCTATTATATAAAGCTAATATCAAATTTTTTTATATATTAAAAAAAAATATAAGTATAATAAATTTAATTGCATAATAAAGAAAGTAAATATTTTAAAATAAAAAAAACAAATCATAAAAAACATAATAAATATATAAAGACATAATAAAGATACACAATATTATAAAGATATAAAAAACTTTAGTTAATAAAAACTGTAATTTTTATTTTTGTAATTTATAATATTACAAAACAACAATAATTTCGTATATAATATTATATTTATAGAATATTATAATTATAGAAATATACATATCAATGGAATTTTTCACTTTTCATTTATACTTTATTCATAAATATTATTGAAGGGGAAATTAATCTCGTAGATAATTAGTAAAATGATTTTAATAACGCGAATATTTCTTATCATTAATAAACCGTATCTCTTATGTACAATATATTGTAATTTATATTTTTATATTGAATGATAACATATAGAAAAATATAGCAATAATTTAAAATTCTTGACATATTAGAACTTTAAACATAATAAGATATTTAAAAATATAATTAATAAATTCTTTTAAGAAATATATTAAGTTTAATATCATTAGTTATATTTACGAAGTATAAACAAATAATTTTAATTAAAAAATTTACAAATTAATTAAAATGATAATTATTTGTATATATGAATTAATTGTTAATAGTTAATTTTGAATATATTAATTGCTCGAAGATTACTAAAATGCCTAAGTATTTGTCTGTCAGCTGTCTTTGACATACGATGTAAACAGTAATTATAACAGAACATAGAACATTGTATACACGTATTAATTTACCAAAAAGCATTTGCCAGTAGAACCTCTTGTGGCTTCACCCACATATTGATCACTATTATTCCAGCACATATGGCACTAACGATACAAATTCAAACACACTTTATCCAAGACACTAGCAAAATTCGTTGCCTGAGTAATAGAAAAAATACTTGCCAAAGATAAACACTAACATGAACTCTACTGCAAATCACGTCAGCTGCGTCAATTTTTGCAATTTCGCCATATTTTCGATTCAAAATGTTACTAAGAATGTAATATTTTTGCTTTGGAATATTTCATTTTTTTAAAAAATATTTTATAATAGAATATAAATTAAATAAAATTATTGATAAATATGTTATATTGTATATGAAGTTTAAAAATAATAAATTTTAATATTTTTAAAATAATATTATTCTCTGGAACTATAATTGATACCATATTATATATATGTATATATACATAAAAGTTTGAAAAGCACTTGATAAAATATAATAAATCATAATTTTTATTTTATAATAAATATATTGTTAGAAAGTAGATGTCGCTACAATTTTTAATTCATGTAAACTCCTGTATAAGATAACTGCAATACACAAGTAAAGTTAGTGTTATACGATTAGGTTACGTCCTTTCGCGAGATTTTTCATTGTAGAGAAAATGGCGTCTCTCGCGGGAGTTCGTATTTTAATAAGAAATACCGGTGCTTTTAGAAATTTGATCACTCGAACGTGTTTACGAAGTGCCATCACGCAATTTCAATTAAATGAAAGATTATTTCATTGTAAAAGACAAAGTATCTTCACAGTTATACCTCAGGTAAATATTACTTTTCTATGATTTTCGTGAATTCTTTTCGATAGTTCATATATCCTATTTTAAATTACGCATTATGTAATCAAAATAATTCTGTTTTAAGTAAAACAATTAATATAAGAAAATGTAAAATATAGGATTTAAAATATTCTATCGATTTAGTATGTCATGTTTTAATTAAATTGAATATACATAAAGTAGTAAGTAAAGTCCACTCTTACAATATAAATTCAGATTTTATTTCATTAATAATATTATATTTAATTATATTTGTTGCCATATTTATATAAAAAATTAATACTTTTTAATTATAATTGTAAATTTAATATTAATATTACTTTTTTTTATTATAATTACATGTTTTAATATAAAGATTATAATTATATTAATTATGTATTCTATTTAATTATATATATAATATATATAATATTGTAAATAGGTAAATATACAAAATATTCGTACATCCACTTCAAAACCTAAAACTCAAGAACTAGAAGAACGTGTTTTAAATGTGGTCCAAGCTTATGATAAAATAACTGCTGACAAGGTTGTAAAGTTATATATTTTTTACAAACTATTATTTTACAGGGCACACGAGTCAAGCAGGTGCGTCAGTATGGCCATAAGGCACCATTATCACTTGACCTTATTCGCCAGCGTGTACTTTTAGTACTCAATCTCTATGATAAAGTTGATGTTCAGAAGGTATCTATTCACAAGATAATACAACATTAAAGAATACTTGTGAAAGTGTTTTGCAAATATATAGGATCATATTTGAAAAACATTTTCATAAATATTTTTTCAATAATTTCCAATGAAAAAAATCTTTAGAGCTTATTAATGATATTTGTAAAACACTTAATAGATAGCTTCTCAGAAAAGTATGGTAGATTAACACTTCGCTTGAATCGTGATGTCTATAATAAATTAATATATATTTAATTATTTATTTATTTTTTATATATACTATCATTAAAAATTTGATATCTTGTGCAGTTATCTTTGAACTCTCATTTTATGGAAGA